AAATTGTCATACAGATTCAGTACAATCCCAAACAAAATTCCACAAGCATTTTTTGAAGGAAGAAAGCAGATTCTATGATGTATATGAAAATGCAAACAATCTAGAATACCCAAAGCAATTTTAAGAAAAGAATAACAAAGTTAGAGGACTTACACTACCTGATTTCAAAGCTTATGAGAAAGCTATAATATGATACCGACAAAAGTTACAGAACACAATAATGAGTCCAGAAATTAATCCAGCCATATATAGTCAACAGATTTTTGACAAAGGTGCCAAGGCAATTAATTGGAAAAAGTAGTCTTCCCAACAAATGGTGCTGAAAATTGGTTATCACTATGGGGAGCCGGGGAGAAGGGGAGAATATCATCCTTATCTCACACCATTCATAAAAATTAAAGTTTATCTTGAAATAGACCTAAATGGAAATGCTGAAACTATAAAGCTTCTAGAAGAAAAAAACATTTGCAAACTTGGGGTAGGCAGACTGCGCACACAGGATACAAAAAGCACAAACCAGAAGAGAAACCAAATTGATAAGGTGGACTTGTTCACCATTAAAACGTTTTCTATTCTAAAGGTACCATTAAGAATTATGTGATTTCTTAGATATGACACCAAAAACATAAGCGACAAAAGAAAAAAATAAACTGTACTACATGAACATTAAAGACTTTGGTGTTGCGAATGACAGCATCAAGAAAGTGAAAGGACCACCCAGCCTAGGAGAAAATATGCGCCAACCATATGTCTAATAAGAGACTTGTATGTAGAATATATAAAGAAGTCTTCCAGTTCAAAAATAAAAGAAAAATATCTCAATTTAAAATAGGGTATTTGAATAGATATGTCTCTAAAGAAGATATATGAGTGTCCAATAAGCATGCAAAAAGATGTTCCACATCATTAGTCATCAAGAAAATGCGAATCAAACCACGTGATTCACACTTAGAATGGCTATCAACAAAAAGACAGATGAAATAAGTATTGGAGAGGATGTAGAGATGTTGTGATTCTTATACACTGCTCATGAAATTGTGAAATGGTGCAGTCACTATGGAACAGAGTTTGGAAGTTCCTGAAAATATTAAACGTGGAGTTACCATTTGACCCAGAAACTACACTCCTGGGTATACACTCAAGGTAAATGAAAACTTATGTCCAGACAAAAATGTGTACCTGAATATGCCTAGCATTATTATTCACAACAGTCCAAAAGCAGAAATACCCTAACTGCCCATCACTGATGAATGAATAAATAAACTGTGATATATCCATATAATGGAATATTATTTGGCAATAAAAAGGAATGAAGGACTGACATATGCTCCAAAATGGATAAACCTTGAAAATATTAAGCTAAATGAAAGAAGCCAGTCACAAAAGAACACATTCTATGATTCCATTTATATAAAATGTCTAGAATAGGCAAATCCATAGACACAGAAAGTAAGTGGCTACTAGGGGCTGGGGGAGGAAGAATTGAGAGTGACTGATAATGGGTACAGGGTTTCTTTTATGGGGACAAAAATGTTCTAAAATTAGATTGTGTGATGATTTTACAACCCTGAGACTAATAAAAACCACTGCATTATACATTTTAAATGTGTAAATTGCATGGCATTGTGAATTAAGCTCTTTTTTAAAGGGTATCATTAAGAAAACAACAACAAAAACAAAGCAAGCTACAGAATGGAAGTAAATAGTCATATATATCTGACAAAGGACAGAATATATAAATAATACTTCCAATGCATAATATGATGATAAACAATCCAATAAGAACTGAGTCAAAAATCTGATTGGACACTTTACCAAAGAAGATATACTAATGGCCCATCAGGATATAAAAGGATAACTGCCATCATTAATCATCAGGGAAATACAAATCAAAACCACTATGAGATACCACTACACTCCCAGTAAAATGGCCGAAACTGAAAAGACTGGAAGCGTCAAGTGTTGGCAAGAATGCAGAGAACATGAACTTACTATATATACTGCAGGTAAAAATGTAAAATATAAAATGGTAAAACCACTTTGGAAAACCATCTGGTAGTTTCTTGAAAAGTTCAACACACCACCTACTATACAGCCCAGTTCTTTCCCTCCTAGGTCTTCATACATCCACACCATGGCTTATGCATGATATTGACAGCAGCTTTATTCATAATAGCCTCAAACTGGAAACAACCTAAATGCTTATCAACAGGTAAGTGAATAAAATGTGGACCATCCAGAACAACGAAATGTTGCTCAGCAATCAGAAGAAATGAACTACTGATCCATGCAACTACATGGATGAATGTCAACAATTATGAGTGAAAGAAGCCAGACACAAAAGTGTACATGCTATGTAATTCCATTTATACAATATTTTAGGAAATGCAAAGGAATCTCTACTGAGTGAACATGGACCACTGGGTAGCTGCGGTCAGAGGTGACGAAGGAAGTACTTCAGAAGGCCACACGTAATCTTTTGGAGTGATGGAAATTTTCTGTTCTTGATTGTGGTGGTGGCTTTCTGGGTATGCGTCTCTCATATTCATCACTGATTTGCTCAGTTAAATAAGTGCAGATAATTGCACGTAAATTGTACCTCAATAAAGTTGATTTTAAAAATCTAATGAAAACCGATGAAAAAAAGAATTCATACAAGTTAACAGTGTGTAATTAGTGTATCCAGTGCTTCTGTAAATGGTGCCTCTAAACTGCTTAACAGTGCACTTAAATAGGTTTTCCTTAGGTGCTTCAAACATTCATGCTTCTAGGTCTGGATTTTGTGATTAATTTGCCTGACAAACCTCGTACAGTGCCCTCTAAAACTTCATTTTAGCCCAATTCCTCTCTGTATTAATACAAATTCTGAATCAGTGTGATCTATATTAAGGAGGTTTTAGGATTATTGCAAAAGAGGAGAAAGCCATGACAGAAAAGCTGAGTGAGGGTTGAGGTCAGCTGTGCAGACAGTATGACATCCAAACTTTGTTCTCAGGTTCGTTGTTTCAAATACTTATGCTCTCATGTCAACCGATCTTTACATAAACTTCTGCTGGTAAATATACAGATGGTCCCCAACCTACGATGGTGCAACTTGCAACTTTATCGCAGAGACATACTAATAAAATGATATGGGTGTCCATAAAGAAAATGAGTACTTACTATTTATGGCAGACCATTTCCCATGCATTTTTCTCATTTAATACTCACTATAACCCTCTAATGTAAACATTATTACAATCCCCACTTTTTTCCATGAAGAAAACTGATACTCAGAAAGGCCCAGTTATTTGCCCAAATTCACCCAGCTAGTAAGAGGCAGGGCTGAGATTTACATATTTGAAGGACTTTTAACTGATTTCTTTAGTGACAGTTTGCAAATGAGAACTAAAGCAAGTGAATACATATAGCTTTGGATTCATATATTAATTAATTAATTTATTTATTTATTTTTTGCATCACCAATAAAAAAGCACACATTTAAATATACTACTGACATTTTCTGGGGCTTTTTCTTGTCACCAAAATGTCATATTCTTTCTATTGGGCAGTCAATATTTGGTGGAAAATTGATTTGCCTGCTTCTTTAAGAGTAGACTGTACATGAAACAAAGTCACATGAGCTTCTAGGAGTGTCCCCAGAATGGGGAGAGCTATCGCTCTCTAGAAAGAACCAGAAACGTGGCAAACTGTAAAACGAACAGAAAAGCAAGAAACTAGGAAAGACTGTACTTAGGTAGTTTGGAGTTAGCATAGAATCAGCAGTCAAAATTGCTTCAACTGCCAAGCTCATGGCTGACAATTAGACACAAATCTGTAAAACCGTTAATCACATCTAAGACTATCATTTGCCAGAGACGAATCATCCATAAGCTTCTGGTTTGGATATTTGGATATTTTTAATGTTTATATAGAAATGTCATAACCTACTAAAATTTTTAAAGATAATGAAAGATTAAATAAATGCATTGAGGAACGTTTATTTGCATCCTAACATGATCCCCAGTTAATATGTTGGTTTAAATATTCACATGGAAAAATAAAACATTTTAAAAAATTGTTAGCCTAACCTCAATTCTTCTAAATACCTTTAGCAAGTCAAAGTCTGAAAATCATCAATAATAATGAAATTTAAGTATATATTCTGACCTTCAACAAAAGTCCTCTTCGGTCACTCAGCTAAATAATATGGTGTTTCAGAATTTATTTACTCAGGTCATGGTTAAAGCATAATACTCTTACATAGTTTCCATCACTTAATTCTAATAAATCTAATCCTGGGCTGCTCCTAGGGATTATACCACTCAGAGTGAAGCATTTGTGTGAGTGGGGAGGACAGTTTCATTTTATACTTAAAAAAAACACATGGTCAAGTCCAGTTTCTACTTGAATATTCAGCTTTCTTATTTCCTCCCTCTATTCTCTAGCATTACTAGAATGCAGAAATAACCTACTGGGGGCAATAATGTCAAGGTCTGACTCTGGATATACTTTTCTTATTTGGGCATGAATTCCCATTCAGTCACATGTGCATTTATCTGCCAGCAGAAGAGCAGAGGGAAGGGACAGAGCACACAGTTACCATCTGCCACTACCTCCCCCAGCCGCCCTAGAAATGCAGACAAGAGACAAGAGCAGAGTGTACTTGACAGTGGGCCCACAGAAGTGTTTTCAGGAAGCAACATTTGGACCTCACACATTAAAAAACGAAACAGCCATCCTGAATGTAGGCACCCTGCAATGGAAGCATCAGATCTCAATGCGGGGACTTGAGATTTTCAGTCGGGCCCAGCAGCTGCAGGCTAAACCAAGTGAGGCCTGCAGACTCCTGTGTTCGGCCAACTGTCCTTAGTTGGATACACTCGTCTCCAATGTCTCACAGCCCTTTCCACTCCCTATCGTCATACGTGGCCCATTACATTAGTTCATTTCACCACTTGGCCCTTTAGGCATTTGAGTTTGCAACCCCTGGTCCATACTCAACCGAAAAAGATACTTACAGCTGCATGACCAGGTACAAGTGATTCGGGCTTTCATAAATGTCTTCCAGGGCAACGATGTTTTCATGCTTAATCCTGAAAGAAAAAAAACACACACAGAGAATAATAAATACAATGAGACATGAAAACTTAAAAACAAATGTCACTGTAGCAGTTCTAAGCTTTACGAAAGGAAACAACGGGCCCAAAATGGAGTCACTTGGCTAACCAAGTCTCAATACCTAATCTAATAGCAGTTATAACTTCCCCCAGGGATGAATCGTAACTAGAATTTTATGGTCGGCACAGGAGGTAATCCGCTGCTCAGCCCACTTCTGTTCCCCAAAGACAGATTACCTAAGCCTGAATCGATCCACTTGTCCCCTTCCGCCTAGAAAAGTCTTGCATTTTGTACAGCTCCTCAGAGCTCCTTTGTACTTGATAGATGGGATGCTGCCTGACTCATGAATTGTTCAATAAAGCCAGTTAGATCTTTAAAAAGTTTACTCAGTTGAATTTGTTACTTAATATAAGACAGAATCCAAACTCTTTAACGTGACATTTAAGACTCTTCACAGTCTTGCCTCCAAACCAGACCTACCTCCCAGTATCCCTCCCCTACTCTCTGTTCTTCATTCCTATATTGGAGGGCTCTATACCCACCAATACAGCAATACTGGATTAACTACTGTCGATTCACGTTATTCCACCCTCTTTCTATTAATTCATATGAATCCCAGGACTAGGCCAACCCAGTCAAAATCCTATTATCTTACAAGGCCCAATTCAAATGGCTGAGCCATTTCTTCTGTAGTCTCACAATATCATCACAGACTGGCCTGAATAGTTCATTGTATGCAAATCCATCCACATAACAGGCAGGATGTGCCAGGGGACAGTTTCATCTGTCATGCTCATGCCTCCAGCCTAGGCCAAGGAAAACCAGACTGAACCTTCACTGGGGTTCTAGTCACCACCACCACCAAATGTCAATTTGGTACTTCAAGTGAACTAGACGGGTATTGATCAAAATGTGGTTCCCAAACAGGCAGCACCAGCATCTCCTGAAAGCATGTTAGAAATGCAGATTCTCAGGCCCTACCCGTCAGAGTTAGAATTCCAGAGGACAGGGCCCAAGAATCTGTTTTAACAGAAGCATCGGATGACTGATATACACCACGTAGAGCTGGAGAGCTTCTGTGTTGGGCCAGTGCTTCTCAAACTTCAGTATGCACACGAATTACCTGGGGTTCTGGTCACACATTATGATTTAATGGGTCTGGGGTGGGCCTGAGAGTCTGCGTTGTCTAACACATTCCCTAGAGATGCTGATTGTACTGTTCTAGGGACCACACTCAAAGTCCTAACTACAGAACCAAGGGAGAAGGAAACAGCCTGATACCAGCCCCGGAACTCCCCATCAAGAGCAGTTTCTGTTCAGAATGTAAGGTTTGATATTTATTTTCAGTATTCGAGGAGAATCATTTCATTACTCTATGAGGTAATTAGCTCTTCTGCAAGCTTTTCTCTGAAATCATTGTGGAAGCACCTAAAAGCCAGCATTTAATGAGCAGATTCTTGTGAACCCTTATAAGCAGGGACTACATGTATCTTACTCATTTTGTTTTCTCCTAGGACCTGCATCGATCTGCTTAACAAATGATTCCTG